GCAAAAACATCAATGTTTCCCGCACTTGCAACTAATCTCAATTCATCGATCTTATTTTTCGGACTACGACTATTAGTATAATATATTTTCAGAAGCCCTCCTTTCTCTTTTCTCTTCCTGCTGATTTATGCCTGTTACGCTTGTCACCTAATGCCACTGGCTTTCCTATATTCACCAGTGGTGCAGGAAGACTCCATTAGCAAATCAGGTAGGAGGGAGGGGCGAGTTTTGGTCATAATTTGAAATGTCCGTATTAACGAAAAACCATAAAGCGGGGTCCTACTGTATTTTGCTGACAACACAATTCGTATTACTCACTGACTGGAACATCCCAACCCCCCACTTCAGAGAGCAGGCATTACCTTCACCACTACCAAGAGTAAGACCCTGCTCACAATCCAGCAGAATTTCAAGTCATAAAAACCACTTTTCTCTAGTCAATCTAATATGATGTGCTCACACAAGGCAACTGGATGTTTACCCAAAGGATACATGAAGAATGTTTCAAGACCAGACCTCCTGGTAAATCAGCAGTAACAGCCTGATCAACCAGGCTGTTACTGTTGGCCACACAGTTTGATATATGAACAACAGCCTGGAAAATCATGAAGAGAACTTAAGGAACACAAATTTCTCTCTTGAAGACAGTCAGGGGTCTACTGGCAATCCCCCTTAGTAATTGAGACTTGGGGCCTCTTGTGATGTAGTTCAGCTGGGCTTGTGAGGTCTCTGGGGAGACCTAATTTAACCAATTATATGGTCACACCTTGCCTTGGCAAATGTCCGTCAGTCACACCTTTTCGGCTTAAGTCTGAGGTCTTTTTTTCTTGACGCGTCAGAATTCGGCGTTGGGTCAAAACACGTGGTGCACACCCCATTGTGGGGGTGGGGGGGGGGGGGGTGCTCTCGGGACAATATAAGCCCAAGGAACAACTAAGGAAGGAGACTTCGAGCGGAGCTACTGCTGTATGCAGAGCTCTGAGCAGCAGAGTTGAGCGGAGCTCTGGCCTGTGTGCAGAGCTGAGCTGGAGAGTCTCAGGAGGAGAGACTGTTGGAGACACTGGGCAGAGTACTGGCTTGGAGCAGTACTCGGGCTGTGTAGGTCTTGGGACCTGTGGCTAGTGCATGGATAGTTCCTGTGGTGAACTGTCCTCTGAATTATATTGTAAGTTATGTTCTGTTTCGTGAAGTTGATTGTATTCCCTGTCTCAATGCTTTTATGTACCATCCCCATTTACCTAAACTCCCGTTCCCAAATATATTATTGTACAAGGACTTATACTAAACTGTGTTTGAGTGGAATAGTAATATTCACTGTCCCCATTACAGTGGACCCCCGCATAACGATTACCTCCGAATGCGACCAATTATGTAAGTGCATTTGTACGTGTATGTTTGGGGGTCTGAAATGGACTAATCTACTTCACAATATTTCTTATGGGAACAAATTCGGTCAGTACTGGCACCTGAACATACTTCTGGAGTGAAAAAATATCGTTAACCGGGGGTCCACTGTATTTGCTCTTTTCATTATTTTATTTCAAGTAGTGAGAGGGTGAGTAGTGTGGTGGGTAGAGTAATGAGAGGTGAAGGTGTAAACACCAGTGACCTCATGTTACCTACCACCTCCGCTAATCATCTCTCCTACCACCTTGCCTGCCTATCCCCTGCCTACATAATCCCTTACTCCCATATTCCCCAATTATCCATTTGTCCAATACCCCCCTACATGACACTCTTACACTTAATGTATTATCTCTTAGTACACTTACAGCATCCCTGCTTTTCACCGAGGACATTTTTGCACTGTCTGCCGAGCCTCTTCCCCTCAAGGGAGGCTCCTTGACGCTGGTGAGTGGCTCTTGATCTAGGGAATTGGATCTGTGCTCCAGTTCCCCGAACTGAGCCTATATGCCTCCCATCCCCCCCCACATGCGCTGTATAATTCTACGGGTTTAGCACTCCCCCATGATTATAATAATATATAATAATGCCGAGCCTCTTGCTTTTTTTTTTTTTTAATAGAGCAATGTCTGCGTGGTGATTCAGGACCAGTCCCTCCAGTATTTTCTAGGTACAGGTTCTCCATCACAAATCCGGCATCATTGGGACCTGTAGTGTGCCGGATTACTGGGTTTGCCGAATTACAGTGGTTAGGTTAGAATACACTTAATAAAATTAGCCAACTTGACTTACACAGTTCATTGAACATCGGCAAAAATTGAACATTTCCGCTACTTTAAACTCTTTCAAGGTACTTTTCGTCATGAAAGCAATCAAAATCATGTCTATTTCTGTAATATATCTTCCATTCTATCAAATGAGTCCAAAAAATGAGAATACAACCATAAAAACCATACGAAAATATACTGCAAAGAGGCGGCTAATGGCTGAGAAGTGAACCCCCTTATTTATCGTCTGTCTTTTTTATTTTTGTTGTACGTTAAGAAGCATCTGTCCGTCATACACTGCCCAAGTTTCAATGAGATAGCCCAACAACCGAGAAAAAAAAATATTTACCAAAAATCATATATGGCAAGCCCAAGCCAGGTACTGGAAATAAGTCACTGTCTGACTTTTCTGGGTTATCCCAGGTTCTCTATACATACACTGCTATGTATGATAATCTATGTAACTGTATTTGTGTATACCTGAATAAACTTATTTACTTCTAGTCTGTCAAGTGAGTACAAGAAACCACCCATTCAATTATTTCAACTACCCAATAAAGTGGTCAGAAATTGGCAATTTGGCCGATTTCACACAAATTTCAAGATGCCAATTTCAAAATAGGGTCCAGAATAAACAATGTAGACATTCCTGGCACTAAAATAACATTTCCTCTGTTCATTAGTCACGGCTACAGGCCCCTCTTATATTACTCTTGCTTACCATTTGGAATTTTTATTAAAAAAAAAAAAAAAAAAATGATGATGATGATTTACTGTTATGCAGACTACTGCATTATTGTAATAATTGTATAAATAATGTCAATCCATTCTTGACTCCATACTGGAATTTAGACTGGCAGGTGGACAGGTATTGGACGGTGATGTCATTTGTTTACTCGAGCTTCGCTAAAGAATAGAACATTTTCACTACTGTGAGCGCAATTTCAAGGTACTTTTCGTCATGAAAGCAATCAAAATCATATCTATTTCTGTAATATATCTTTCATTCTATCAAATGAGACCGAAAAAATGAGAATATAACCATAACCATACAAAAATATACCGCTAAGTGACCGCTAATGGCTGAGAAGTGAATTCCGCTATTTATGGTCTGATTTCTTTCATTTTTGGTGTACGTGAAGAAGTATCTTTCCATCATACATTGCCCAAGTTTGAATAAGATAACCCAACAAACAACTGAGAAAATAATAATAATAATATAATAATAATTTTATTTACTACACGTACATGTACAAGGTATACAGGCCTAGCTGACATCAGTGACATACTACTGTATAGAAAGGCACTTGTTATGCTGAGTACGTATTTCAAGAAAATTAGGTCAGTGTCCCAGGATAACATCCACACTAGTCGACTAACACCCAGGTACCCATTTACTGATGGGTAAACATAGACAATAGGTGTAAAGAAACACACCTAATGTTTCTACCCTGGCTAGGAATCGAATATTTACCAAAAATCATATACATGTATGGCTAACCCAAGCCAGGTACTAAAAGTAAGCCATGTTGACTTTTTTGGGGTTATTTTAGGTTCTCTACACATATGCTGCTATGTGTGATAATCTATAGAGAGAAAATAACTTTTTTGTTTCATGTTTATGGTGGAGTACGAGTGTATATCATAGTTAGCCCTGTGCTATACTCTGTTTTCTCTAATATAAACCCCCAAGACAAGGATAGGAGAATGGTATTTGTTTACCATATCCTCTTCATAACTCTGTCGAACTGCTCGGTGTTATGCCAAATATTATTCATTCTGGAGTATTTAACATGTTTTATGTTATTTAAATTGTTTCTTATGTCATATTAGATCAATTGTGATAGGCAAATAAGCTGTCGTGTTGATATTAGCGTAATAATAAAGCATATTCTCCTGTATCATGAGACTGAGTTCATGACAACCAACAGTGGCTTCAAAGCCACCTTATCTTTAATGGATAATGTACTGTGTAGGTGCTTTACATAATGAGAAGCATTTCTTTTATTCATTGGAACCATGGCTAGGGCTAAAAGCAAGCAGGTTAAAACAATAAATGGAGAAAAAGAAATTGGAATGACTTATGCAGCAAGTAGCGCCACCAAACAGTACCAGCAGGTTGGTTTGGCAACCCTGGAAATTTGAAATTGTGCTAGTCAAAATTAGTGCCGAATAACTGAAGGAACCGAATAACTGATTGCCGGATTTGTGATGGCGGACCTGTATAAATTATGATGTATTCTTTTCACCTGTATTCCTGAGAGTACATTTCAAAGGTCTTCAAATATTACAAGTAATTTAGGAGCTTGATTAAATTTGTAAGTGCAGTCAACGTTCTAGGTATATTTTCAAGGTCTAATTTTTTTTAAATGCTCCAGCCACCTTCTGCTGAGGTAGGGTAGCATGATAAAAGAAGAAACCACTTTCACAGTCACACATTCAATCACCATTTGCTAGAAGAGTACCAACATCGCAGTTCAGGTAGCCCTCAAAACTACGTAATCCCCACACTTCCTTCAGAATGTAAGAAATGTACTTCTCACCTCCAGGGCTCAAGTCTGGCTAACCTGTTTCTCTGAACCCCAATATGTTACCCTGCTCACACTAACTGCATAACAAATCATGAAAATTTCTTGCCTCACTCCTAACATGCTCATACAAGCCTGTTGGACATCTAAGCCCTTCACACTAAACAAACCTCCTTTACCATCTCCATCCAACAATTCCAAGGACGACACCACTCGTCCTTCCCTCCACACCAGATTTATATGCCAAGATAACGAGTACTGTACAAAATATATTTATTCAGATTTAACTAGTTATACTCACCTTGTAAATCTCCCCAGAGCTTGCATCTGTTATGCATGAAACGCTATACAAGAAAGCTGGCACACAACCTCTGGTTTCTCTGACTCGCAAAACAGAATCATGTAATTCTTCACATTCATTAGATGAAGTTACCAAAAACAGGTTCAGCTGTGTAGGCTCCTGTTGTGAAGAAATTAAGAAAATACAGAATAAACACTTCACCATCTGATACAAAAATTCCTGTATATCCAAAGTATTACATACAGTACAAGAATAGAGAATACACAAACTGAATTTAATTGTATTTCACAAAAATTAATGAGTGCATTCTTTATGAAATACTAAACTGGAAAGTACATCACACAGTAGTGACAAACTAAGTAGCATTAAAATGGCTGGGTAATTCTTGGATAAGCAAAATATTTCTTAATTGTCTAGTTAACCCTTTCACTGTCCAGACCCCCGATATGAAACTTGTTCACAGCTTCCAAGAATTTAAAAAGAAATTTTTTTTTTTCTTATGAAGGGTAAAAAAAAAAAATACAAAATTTGATGGAAAAATTTACGTAATTACACTTCCACAAATTTTGCTATGTCAGTGTTATTTATTCATTGGCGATTTTTGCCCAATTTGACTCGTATTTTAGGCTAATTACATTGTTCCAGTAGACCAAATTCTTAGCTCTTTTGCTAGTATGTCTTCTATTTTATCGAACGAGCACAAGAAACCTCCAAATCAACTATTTCAACTACCCAAGGAAATGACCAGAAATTGGTAATTTGACCAATTTAACACAAATTTCCAAATATTCCAATTTCAAAATAGGGTCTCCAGTATAAACAATGCAGGCATTTCTGGCACTAAAATAACCAGGTCATATCTAACTTCAAAAACCTCTACGCAAAAGCATTGTTTGAAAAGTGCTTTGAAGTGACCTCTGACACTCAGTTGACTAAGAGAGTTCTGGAAAGATCACTTCACTATCCTCAATTGCAAAAGCATTATAGGTAAGGCTTGGAAGAGAGTGACTTCCAGGACTTTGAACTCTGCTTGGAGAAAATTGTTGCCAGGTTGTGTCCAAGAGAGATTGTGAAAGGTTTGAGGCTGACCCTGACCTTGTGGACTATTGTGGCACTGGCGAAGTCCCTAGGGTTGGAGGCAAGTGGCGAGGATGTGGAAGAGTTGGTGGAGGACCACAGGGAAGAGCTAGCCACTGAAGAGCTGCAAGAGCTTCAACTTGAACAGCAACAGACTGCAGAAGAGGAGGATGAGTGTGAAGGAGGTGCCTTCTTCAGAGATTAAAGAGGTGTGTGCAATGTGGACTAGGATGCAAGCTTTTCAAGAGAAACACCACCCTGACAAAGCTGAAACAAGCCATATCTGCAACATGTTCAGTGACAAAACCCTGTTCCACTTCAGGGAAATCCTAGAGATGCCAGAAACAGACCTCAATGGACAAATTTGTGTGACAGGGGTCCAGTGACTAAAGCTGGTCCTAGTGGCATTAAAAGACAAAGGGGGAAAGTAACTCCAGAGAAGGCTTTGCTACCTAGTCTTTATGGAATGGGATTCCCCTTCCAAACACTAACTCCTCCTCCTTTCCTCCTCCCTATCTTCCAGAAGCCAGCATTAGCCTTGAATAAAGGTATGTAATACTTACGTAATTGTTAATTTTTTTTTTTGTGAATACTTTTGTCTGTAATGGAATAATTGTATTTCCATTAATTCTTATGGGAAATATTATTTAGGTTTTCGGCCATTTTGGTCTTAGGCCGAGCTTCTGGAACGGATTACGGCCAATAACTGAGGGTATACTGTATAGTATATGTATTTATCTGTGTTGTGTGTATGTAAAACTATAGTTACTCTTTAAAAAAATGTATTTTTTTTTGTGGGTTTGTAAGGGATTAATTGTACATACATTATTTCTTATGGGAAATACTGCTTCGCCTTTTGGCCGTTTCGAGTTTAGGACTATCTCCGGTAACGGATTATGGCCGAAACTCAGGGTTCCACTGTACTCTCATTCATTCCCCTCTTCACTTCCATGCACAAAGTTCTTTGTCTCCACAGACAGTACACTACTGTATAAACAATTTTTTTTTTTATTAACACACTGGCCGATTCCCACCAAGGCAGGGTGGCCCGAAAAAGAAAAACTTTCACCATCATTCACTCCATCACTGTCTTGCCAGAAGGGTGCTTTACACTACACTTTTTAAACTGCAACATTAACACCCCTCCTTCAGAGTGCAGGCACTGTACTTCCCATCTCCAGGATTCAAGTCCAGCCTGCCGGTTTCCCTGAATCCCTTCATAAATGTTACTTTGCTCACACTCCAACAGCACGTCAAGTATTAAAAACCATTTGTCTCCATTCACTCCTATCAAACACGCTCACGCATGCCCGCTGGAAGTCCAAGCCCCTCGCACACAAAACCTCCTTTACGCCCTCCCTCCAACCTTTCCTAGGCCGACCCCTACACCGCCTTCCTTCCACTACAGACTGATACACTCTTGAAGTCATTCTGTTTCGCTCCATTCTCTCTACATGTCCGAACCACCTCAACAACCCTTCCAAGCTCTCTGAACAACAGTTTTGGCAATCCCGCACCTCCTAACTACCAAACTACAAATTCTCTGCATTATATTCACACCACACATTGCCCTCAGACATGACATCTCCACTACCTCCAGCCTTCTCCTCACTGCAACATTCATCACCCATGCTTCACACCCATGTAAGAGCGTTGGTAAGACTATACTCTCATACATTCCCCTCTTTGCCTCCAAGGACAAAGTTCTTTGTCTCCACAGACTCCTAAGTGCACCGCTCACCCTTTTCCCCTCATCAATTCTATGATTCACCTCATCTTTCATAGACCCATCTGCTGACATGTCCACTCCCAAATATCTGAATACATTTACCTCCTCCATACTCTCTCCCTCCAGTCTGATATCCAATCTTTCATCACCTAATCTTTTTGTTATCCACATAACCTTACTCTTTCCTGTATTCACTTTTAATTTTCTTCTTTTACATACCCAACCAAATTCATCCATCAACCTCTGCAACTTCTCTTCAGAATCTCCCAAGAGCACAGTGTCATCAGCAGAGAGCAACTGTGACAACTCCCACTTTATGTGTGATTCTTTATCTTTTAACTCCACGCCTCTTGCCAAGACCCTCGCATTTACTTCTCTTACAACCCCATCTATAAGTATATTAAACAACCACGGTGGCATCACACATCCTTGTCAAAGGCCTACTTTTACTGGGAAATAATCTCCCTCTTTCCTACATACTCTAACTTGAGCTTCACTATCCTCGTAAAAACTCTTCACTGCTTTCAGTAACCTACCTCCTATACCATACACCTGCAACATCTGCCACATTGCCCCCCCCCACCTATCCACCATCACATGCCTTTTTCAAATCCATAAATGCCACAAAAACCTCTTTAGCCTTATCTAAATACTGTTCACTTGTATGTTTCACTGTAAACACCTGGTCCACACCCCCCCTACCTTTCCTAAAGCCTCCTTGTTCATCTGCTATCCTATTCTCAGTCTTACTCTTAATTCTCATAACCCTTTGAGGGTCGACAGGCCCTCTCCGAAACTCGTTCTCAGGGTCGGCCAAATTTAAAAAAAAAAAAAAATTATTTTTTCTTATGAAAAAATAGAGTATTTTTTTCTAAACATTATAGGCTAAACAAAAAAATTTTAACGTCAATACTTACCGAGATATGGAGGTGTGAAATTTGCCAAAATTGAACAACATATGGTAACATCGCCGACTGCCGTCACCCGGTATTTTTCTATTTACTTTTTTATGTACTATTTTCAATTATTTTTCAATTTTTCTTTTTCTGAGTAACTTTTATGGCCTCTGAGGCCAACATGATCAGTATTTTGTAAGTTATTTCTTTTTCAATACTACACAATAAGGGCGTAAACACTGTTGTCATTA